CAAACAGTGTGGCAAACTCCAAAGATTCACTGATGTAGTCATATTAACACTCCTCTTTTAAAAGGAAAGTGATGTTTACCCCAAGTTTAGGGTCTGTCTATCTGCCTCTGTCTCTGTTTCTATCTGTGTCTGTCTGTCTGTCTCTGGCTTTGTCTCTGTCTATCTCTTTAAGTCTGTCTTTGTCTATCTCTGTCTCTCAGGTACACATAAATACAAGTATACGGAGTATAAATTACCTAGGATAACCCAAAAATCCAGACAAAGTGCTATACTCTGCTTGAAGATGTGAGTAAAGATGATGACGCAGTCTTGTGGCTCTCTGAGACAGAGAGCTAGACAGATAGACAGGGAGCTTGGCAGACAGACAAATAGACAAACAGAAATGTTTGTGTACCAGCAAAAACAAAGGGAGGGGGATGGTCATCTAATCTTTTCTTATCAGCTGCACCCTCCCCCACCCTCATGTATGCTCATCAGACGTCAGCTCTATCATTTATCTTATGTCACTGTCAGGGGTGGACTTTGTTTTTGATGCTTCAGGGGAACTTATTATTATATGTATTATTATTATTACATATTGTTATTTTTTTTTTCAACAAGTCGGCTGTCTCCCACCGAGGCAGGGTGACCCAAAATAAGAAAGAAAATCCCCAAAAAGAAAATACTTTCATCATCATTCAACACTTTGACCTCACATATAATCACTGTTTTTGCAGAGGTGCTCAGAATACAACAGTTTAGAAGGATATACCTATAAAGATACACAACATATCCCTCCAAACTGCTAATATCCCAAACCCCTCCTTTAGAGTGCAGGCATTGTACTTCCCATTTCCAGGACTCAAGTCCGGCTATATAAAAATAACCGGTTTCCCTGAATCCCTTCTCTAAATATTACCCTGCTCACACTCCAACAGATCGTCAGGTTCCAAATACCATTCGTCTCCATTCACTCCTACCTAACACGCTCACGCACGCTTGCTGGAAGTCCAAGCCCCTTGCCCACAAAACCTCCTTTACCCCCTCCCTCCAACCTTTTTGAGGACGACCCCTACCCCGCCTTCCTTCCCCTACAGATTTATAGGCTCTCCATGTCATCCTACTTTGATCCATTCTCTTTAAATGACCAAACCACCTCAACAACCCCTCTTCAGCCCTCTGACTAATACTTTTATTAACTCCACACCTTCTCCTAATTTCCACACTCCGAATTTTCTACATAATATTTACACCACACATTGCCCTTAGACAGGACATCTCCATTGCCTCCAACTGCCTCCTCACTGCTGCATTCACAACCCAAGCTTCACACCCATATAGGAGTGTTGGTACTACTATACTTTCATACACTCCCTTCTTTGCCTCCATAGATAACGTTTTTTTGTCTCCACATATACCTCAATGCACCACTCACCTTTTTTCCCCTCATCAATTCTATGATGACCCTCATCCTTCATAAATCCATCCGCCGACACGTCAACTCCCAAGTATCTGAAAACATTCACTTCTTCCATACTCCTTCTCCCCAATTTGATATCCAATTTCTCTTTATCTAAATCATTTGATACCCTCATCACCTTACTCTTTTCTATGTTCACTTTCAACTTTCTACCTTTACACACACTCCCAAACTCATCCATTAACCTTTGCAATTTTTCTTTAGAATCTCCCATAAGCACAGTATCATCAGTAAAAAGCAACTGTGTCAATTCCCATTTTGTATTTGATTTCCCATAATTTAATCCCACCCCTCTCCCGAACACCCTAGCATTTACTTCTTTTACAACCCCATCTATTAATATATTAAACAACCATGGTGACATTACACATCCCTGTCTAAGACTTACTTTTACTGGGAAGTAGTCTCCCTCTTGTTATTATTATTATTTTTATGTATTATCCTCCTCCTCCTCCTCCTCCTCCTCCTCCTCCTCCTCCTCCTCCACTTCCACATATCCAAAACATTGCTGGTACCTGTAAATGCTTTGTTTATATTCCAAGACAATAGTAAATGGCTAAGGCAGGTGTAAATGTCCACCTGTCAATGTGTTTGTGACAATTTGAGTACAATTTCAGTACCTAATAATAGTGTCAGAACAAAGATTGTTTATAAAATTACAAGAACTACTATAAATTGTAATTATCGGAACATAAAAATTATATAAAATAATATGAAAAATAGAAGAAAAGGTATATTGGCAACACTTCTGCAAGCAGCAGGACTCCATGTTGCTGTCACATGAGCATCCAGTGCCAACTTCTCTGTCTCATATCTCTCTAAAGTACTGACCCTATTTTTCTTTTATTCTGAAACACTTAAAAAAATGTGCTCTTTTTTTCTATGAAAAAAAAATGACTTTTTTTTTTTTTCAAAATATTCAGGGCACTGTGCGAGTGAACATATATATACGTTTGGACCATTTAAGGGTTAATAATCGAGGTGACTTCAGTGGGCTTGGTAGGTGCAAGATATGAGGAGGTTGGGAAATTCCCATCTAAGTAATCACTTGCTCGGGCATTGGTACATGGGATTTTACTGGCGAGATTTGATCCTGTGGTTGAGAAGAAGTCATTTATCTTGTTAACTGTATCAGCAGGCTGTAGTTGTGTTTCATTCAGTTTAGTTAGGATAATATCCCTAGTTTTTTTTTAGTTTGTGGGTGCCCAGAGTCTGAGAGAGTGTTTTCCAGGTCTTTTTTTTATATCTCCTCTTGTTCTGGTGAATCTGCTGGAATAGTACAATTGCTTGGCTCTCTTATTAGTTTAGTGAGAATTGATGCATAGTGTTTGATAATATCTTTGTGTATTAAGCCCTGTCTATATTGCTTTTCATATTGATGTTTCTTATCAGTGGATCTTAATATGCTGTTATTTAGCCATAGGCAACCAAGCCGTTTATTCGTAATCTGTTTCGTTTTTATGGGACAATGTTTGTTGTAAAATCTAAGTAATTTATTAAGAAATTTGTCTGTTTATAAATTCAAGTCTCTTCTTAAAAACCACTTACTCACCCACAACTAAAAAAATACTGCATAACTGCATCTCATAAATTATAACCTGTGACCCTATCAAACTTTTTTTTTTTTTTAATTACGTTACCTAATAGAATACTCCATTCTCTTGAATGCACAAAAACTCATCAAATGACCATATGACCTGTCTTTGAAATATACTCATTTGTGCTTAATTGTTATTTGTTTACTGTAATTTTTACCACTGACTATATCATTGCTTAATTAATCTTAAGTTAATTTTAAGCCTGCCCATAATGCTCTGCATACAAGGAGCTTATGGCATGTGCACTTAACCATTGTATTTCTTTGTACATCTATGTATCATGTCCAAATTAATAATAAATAAATAAATAAATTGGAGAATTTTGTAGGCCAGTCAACCATCCCTAGCTCTGCTGTGAGGTTACCTTTTGAGGCCTCGTCATAAAGTCTAAAAGAAACTTTGTTGTATTCCAGTGGTTGTTTACTAATGTTTGTTAACAGGAAGGTGGGGTAGTGGTCAGTAGTGCTGCCTGTGATTATCTCTGATTTAAGGGGGGCAACCATAATTGACCATATATAGTTGATTATGGTTGCACTTGTCTGTCAGCCTGGTTGGTTTAGTTATATAGTTTGTATGAGAAGTACATTGTTCATAATGTTAATGAAATCAGTTACAGGCTGGTCATCTGGTAGGCCAAGGTTGATGTTGAAGTCTCTGGATAAGAGAAGGTGGTGCTTGTTCATTTGGTTGCTTATTATTAGTGTCTTTAATTTGTCGTTAAAATTTGGGATGTTTGCATGTGGCATCCAGTTGATGGCTTTTCAGTAAAATTTGCAAGAATATATTCTCCATATTCATCACTGTAGCAAGTGGTGTTGTAACAAGATAATTCATTAGAGTAATAGATTGCAATACCACCCCCAACTTGGTATTGTCTGCAGTTGTGAATTGCAGTGTATCCTGGTAATGAGTTGATATCTATTGTGTCCTGTTTAAGCCAGGTTTCAGTGAGAATAATTCAGGAGAAGGTTGTCGTTAGAGAATCAAGGAGTGCCAGGAGGTCATCATAGTATTTCTTTAGGGACCTGATATTGTAATTAAGAATTGTAATATTTTTAGCAGTATTTAGGGCAGTGCTGGCTTGTGATGCTGTGTAATTGTGGCAATTACTTTCCATTAAATTTTGATTGGGAATTAGATTATATAGATTTTGATTTGGGTTGACATAATCATTCATCATTCAGGTTAAATTGTAATTCTTTATCATGTATAGTGTGTTGTTTCAGTACTGGTATCTGTAATAAGGGGATGTTTGGACAAGTGTATAGCTAACGCATGTTGGTCAGGTAGTGTCAAAACTAATAAACATAGTGAACTTAGACAGAACTTTATCCATAAGGCAAAAAAGGAAATGTACCAGAGTATAGTGATACCAGCACAGTTGTATGGATGTAAGGCATGGGGTTTGAGTAGTGCAGTGGGAAAGAGGCTGTTGACAGAGATGTTATGTTTAAGAGCATTGTGTGGTGTGAATATTATGCAGAGAACTTGGAGTGTGGAGATTAGGAGGCATGGAGCTACTAAAAGTATTATTCAGAGTGCTGAGGAGGGATTGTTGAGGTGGTTCAGACAGTGAGGATGGAGAAAAACAGGATGACTAGGCAGGTGTATAAATCTTGGGGAAACTGGTTATCGTCTTGGAGGTGTGGGGATATCGTCTGAAGGAGGGGTGGGGATATTGCAGTTTAGTAGGTCATTTGAATTTCAATGTCAGTGTGCTTCTGGCAAGACAGTGATTAATTGAATGACTGAAAGTGTTTTCTTCTTTGTCAGGTCACCCTACATCAGTGGGAGATGGCTGTAGTGTCTTAGAAAGACACTATATGCAGAACAAACTTGTTCTGCATAGCTTTGTTGTCATTATGTCTCTGTGTCTTGTGCGATAACTTACAGGCATTGAAATTGGTAATAACTCACAGTTCACCTTTGTATATTATTTTCAGATCCCAGAGCAATATGGGTCACCTCGTGTAGTGACGTCAGGCCGGGGAACACAGCTGGTGGTGGGCACCACTCGTAACTGTGTTTTGGAAGGAACATTTACTTTCCCAATGCGGCCCGTTATGCAGGTAATTGAAAGCATTTATTTTACATTGGCAGTAATAGGAAAAATACTAATATTTTGTATTAAATAATTGAAAAATGCATTAAAATTGCATGCACTATTGACAAGTTGATAAGACAAATCTGCAACATTAGGCATCTTTATTAACCCTTTCAGGGTCCAGAGGCCAAATTTCAAAGTGCGCACCAGTGTCCAAGAATTTTCATAAAATAATTTTGTTATTTTTTCTTATGAAATGGTAGAGAATGTTTTTCTGAAGGTAAAGCAAAAAAGTACGAAATTTGATGGAAAATTGACGAAATTATGCTCTCGCGAATTTGTCAGTGATAACTTATGCATCGGCGATTTTGCCGACTTTGATTCCCATTTTAGGCCAGTTACCTTATTCTAGTCAACCAAATTCTTAGCTGTTTCACTAGTATTACTTTTATTCTAATGACTGAGCACAAGAAATCGCCAACTCAATTGTTTCAACTACAATATAAAGTGATTGGAATTTGGTAATTTGGCCAATCATCTCTATTTCTGTAATATATCTTCCATTCTATCAAATGAGACCAAGAAATTGCAAATACAACTACAGTGGACCCCCGCTTAACGATCACCTCCCAATGCGACCAATTATGTAAGTGTATTTATGTAAGTGCGTTTGTACGTGTATGTTTGGGGGTCTGAAATGGACTAATCTACTTCACAATATTCCTTATGGGAACAAATTCGGTCAGTACTGGCACCTGAACATACTTCTGGAATGAAAAAATATCGTTAATCGGAGGTCCACTGTATAATAAACATACGAAAAAACACTGCAAAGTTGCTGATTTAATAAAAATTACTGTCTCAGTTTTTTTCTCTCATGCACTGTGCTGCAGGATTTGTTTTATGTGGTGAACACATACCACATAGATGTATTCTCTCATATCTAGGCTCAAATTTACCACTCACAGCTTATCAGAGTGAGCTGAGCTCATGGCGTAGATCTACAGTTTGGACCCTCAACATAAAGCCGTAGATCTACGGCATGGACCCTGAAAGGGTTAATGAAACATTTTGCCTACACTGCAGGCTTAATTAGCCAAGAATACTGGGATGTATTACAGTCGGTTAGATGGTAGATGAAGTGAAGTGGTAGTTAGAGGTAATTCCCTCAGCCTTTATGATAGTCTAGTCTGTCATTATCTTTCACCAAGGTTGAGGTAATGTAATTCATTCTTGTATTCAACTTAATGAAGACTGGAATATAGGCTTCATCAATAAAAATGCTTAATATTGTACATATGTCTTACTCATCTGCATAAATGCTGTAGTTATTCCATCATATCCTCTTTTTATTGCTGCTCTTTCTAAAATAAAATTTTTGACTAGTAGAAATGTGTGAGAACTGTGCTTTGATGATGGAGTGGAGGTACTGTATTATACATAACTTGATTAATTAACCCTTTCAGGGTTGGTGCTGTACTAGTACACATAAATTCTAGCACCTTCAAATCTAGCGAGAGAAAGCTGGTAGGCCTACACATGAAAGAATGGGTCTATGTGGTCAGTGTGCACAGTATAAAAAAATTCCTGCAGCATACAGTGCATAATGAGAAAAAAAAAACTCAACCATGTTTTTGGTTTAAAACAGTGACTTTGGCAGTGTATTTTCATATGCTATATATGGTTGTATTCTAGTTTTCCTGGTCTCATTTTATAGAATGGAAGACATATTTCAGAAATTGAGATGATTTTGATTGGTTTCACAATGAAAAGTACCTTGAAATTGAGCTCAAAGTAGCAGAAATGTTCGATTTTTGCTAAAGTTCAAAAGTAAACAAATCATGCTAAGCGTCCAATACACATCAACTGGTGAGTCTAATATTCTTTCACAAGTGCATTGATATTATTTATACCATTTCTACACTAATGCAGTAGTCTGCATAACAGTAAATCTTCTATTTTTTGCTAGAATAAAAATTCAAAGTGGAAAGCAAAAAAAATACAACAGAGGCCTGGGGATGTGACTAATGAACAGAGGAAATGTTATTTTAGTGCCAGAAATGTCTGTCTTGTTTATTCTGGACTCTATTTGGAAATTGGCATCTTTTGAAATTTGTATGAAATTGGCAAAATTACCAATTTCTGACCGCTTTAGTGGATAGTTGAAATCGGTAAATGGGTAGTTTCTTGTACTCATTCGATAGAAAAAATGGAGTTCTAGCGAAATATGTATGATTTTTATCGACTGGTACATTGGAATTGGCCGAAAATAGGGTTCAAATTTGGCAAAATCGCCGATGTGTAAACATCGTTGAGACCGCTAACTTCGCGAGAGCATAATTCCATACGTTTTCCATCAAATTTCATACTTTTGGTGTCATTATGATCGGGAAAAGATCCTGTATCATTTCATAAGAAGAAATAATAATTTTTGTTTTTGAAAAATTTCCAACCCTGAGAACAAGTTTAGGAGAGGGCCTGCCGACCCTGAAAGGGTTAATATGTTTTGGGTTCAGGTTACTGGCATATTGAGATCTACTCCTCTACTTTACCATTTATTACTTTAAAGCTATTACATATTAGGTATCACTTAAAACTGAGGTACCTGTAGTGTTTGTCAGATATTTTTCTTGAAAGATTTTCATAAGAACATAAGAAAGGAGGAACACTGCAGCAGGCCTGTTGGCCCATACTAGGCAGGTTCTTTACAATTCATCCCACTAACAAAACATTTGCCCAACCCAATTTCCAATGCTACCCAAGAAATAAGCTCTGATGTGCAAGTCCCACTCGAATCCAACCCCTCCCACTCATGTACTTCTCCAACCTAAATTTGAAACTACCCAAAGTCCTAGCCTCAGTAACCCAGCTTGGTAGACTGTTCCACTCATCAACTACCCTATTTCCAAACCAATACTTTCCTATGTCCTTTCTAAATCTAAACTTATCTAATTTAAGTCCATTACTGCGGGTTCTCTCTTGGAGAGATATCCTCAAGACCTTATTAATATCCCCTTTATTAATACCTATCTTCCATTTATACACTTCGATCAGGTCTCCCCTCATTCTTCGTCTAACAAGTGAATGTAACTTAAGAGTCTTCAATTTTTCTTCATAGGAAGATTTCTAATGCTATGTATTAATTTAGTCATCCTACGCTGAATCTATAACTTGAGTACACGTCATCCAGTCTGCTTAAAATTTTCATGACTGGTGTACCATAACTAGAGCAAGGTTAAGTTCTTAATGGGGTGTAAAGGTTTCATTTTATCACTTTTTATAAGCTATATGGAATTTGGATTTCTGTGCAGTAATGTGTGAGAGATTCTGATTAGCTTCGAACTTTTGACACTGGTTAATCTTACTGAGAAAATGCTTCGGATTTTTATTGCCACTTGTAGATGTTTAACATACAGTTGAGAATACTTTATCCAAATGGGACTAGAAGTGTTTTGGATTTTTTTTTTTTTTTGGGTATTTGTAGATTTGCATCTATGAAATGGGACAGCTTGGGGATGGGACCCCAAGTCTAAACACAGACAGCATTGTACTGTACAAGTTCTGTACCAAAAAAAGCTTGACCACTGCTTACAAAAAGAAGATACCGTATTTTTTCCCCATATAAGTCTAGGTGGGTGCAAGAGGAAAGAGGAGTGATTGGTGGAATGATGAAGTAAAGGGTGTGATAAAAGAGAAAAAGGTAGCTTTTGAGAGGTTTTTACAAAGCAGAAGTATTGTAAGATCAGAGTATATGGAGAGTTAAAGAAAGGTGAAGAGAATGGTGAGAGTGCAAAAGGAGGGCAGATAAAAGAGTGGGAGAGGCACTGGCAAGAAATTTGCTGAAAATAAGAAAAATTTTTGGAGTGAGATAAACAAGTTAAGAAAGCCTAGGGAATGAATGGATTTATCAGTTAAAAACAGAGTAGGGGAGTTAGTAGAAGGGGAGATGGAGGTATTGGGTAGATGGCGGGAATATTTTGAGGAACTTTTAAATGTCGATGAAGAAAGGGAAGTGGTAATTTCATGTACTGGTCAGGGAGGTATAATATCTTTTAGGAGTGAAGAAGAGCAGGATGTGAATGTGGGGGGAGGTGCTTGAGGCATTATGTAGAATGAAAGGGGGTAAAGCAGCTAGAACTGACGGGATCATTACAGAAATGTTAAAAGCAGGGGAGGATATTGTGTTGGAGTGGTTGGTATTTTTGTTTAATAAATGTATGAAAGGGCAGAAGGTACATAGGGATTGGCAGAGAGCATGTATAGTTCCTTTATATAAAGGGAAGGGGGACAAAAGAGATTGTAAAAATTATAGAGAAATAAGTTTACTGAGTATACCAAGTAAAGTGTATGGTAGGGTTATTATTGAAAGAATTAGAGGTAAGACAGAGAGTAGGATTGCAGATGAGCAAGGAGGGTTTAGAGTGGTGTAGGGGAAGTGTAGATCAAGTGTTTACATTGAAGCATATATGTGAACAATACAGTGGAACCTCAGCTTACCAACGCCCCACCATGCGAATTTTTCAGGATACGAACCATCGCTCGGTTCATTTTTTTGCTTCTGGATAGGAACGAATTTTCAGGATGCGAACTTTCCCCTCAAGGGAAGTTCCTTAAATAAATAAATAAATAAATAAATAAAATATTTATTCCTTTGCAAAGGTTACAATGTGTGTTTACATATAATATGATTGGAGCAGAGAAAGCCACTATCATGCCGAGGCATTTCAGGCAGACTTAACCTAATACTAATAGACTAAAGTCTAGACAGGTGAAGAGTGGTAGTGGTTACCAGTGTTTTGCTGATGGTGGTGCCAACTACTGGCAGCCTTTTGAAGTTTCTCCTTGCTGTTATTATTATTATTATTATTATTACAGTGGAACCCCGACATTCGATGGCATTGACATTCGATAAATCCAACATTCGATGCATTTTAACGCAAAAATTTTGCTTCGATATTTGATGGAAAACCTGACATTCGATACGATTCGTACGAGACGTGTCCACGTGTGGCCTGAACTGTTCCA